CATCTACAAATCCCTGTGGTGAGTACTATTCCAGTATACAAGAGTCATGGCAAAACTTTGGAATCGGAAGGAACTTGAAGCCAAAGCTCCTTCACTATGCCGTTCTTGAGGGACGAGGAAAAACGAACTTCGAGAGAATTTTACTTCTTTCGCGTCTTACAAAGTTATTAGATAGGAGAGTTATTCACTGTGGCCTGACATTTCGACTGAATCGCCGTTTCGAAAGGCCAGCAGGCCCACTGTTTGAGTTTGATAGTTTTTCGCCACACGACAGCACTGGTCAGTCGTGACCACCGTTGTTTTACAATAACCATAAGACAGCATTCAGACCTCGCGATGACGCGCGTCGACGCGTTGCAGTTGCAACAGCGCTCCAAACTATGGACGCGAATGCAGCCATAGACGGAAAGTGATCAGCGCAGGCCGCTTGTGTATTGAAGAGTATGGGGGGGGGTAGAGAGAGTACGCGTAGCCTAATCACACAGTCTGGTATCGATCGGCACCGGCCACAAGGGCCTTTGGAGAGTACAGAAGAATGAGAGAGTACCAGATTATGTGAAGGCAGCGCCTGCCCCCATATTCCCCTACACTCTCTCAACACCCGGGTGGTCCGCGCCGATCTATTCGGCTGTGCACGAGTGCACCTTTTGAGCTAAAATGTTGAAATTACAACAATAGAAACCTGGATAATGCTCGAGAGTACACTTAAATATATTTTAGATGAAGTAATGGACTCACGACATTTCATATTTCTTTTCACGACCTTTTTGCAACGAGCATTCTGCTCAGTACGGCGAAGTCGTGATAGGACCACAAAGCCATTTGTAGTGAGTTTGGCGCTGTCAGGAGACATGCAAGGATGGCATTTGGTAACCGGTGTGATGCCTCTGGATACTGTATATACAGATGCACAATTAATGAGGTGAGGTTGGAGACTAGAAGAACGTTCTGGGGAAGTTCACGGTCAGAAATGTGACGATGGTGAACAAAAGGCGTATCCACCCAAGGTGGCCACTCAAGCTTGGTAATATTTACCTTGCGTCACTGGAGAATCGGAAAATTCACTAAGAGGATCAGATAAAATCGCAGTGCAAACACTCCAGCATGCGGCAAGAAACGTGCTGTACGTCGTGATATTTCGTCGACTCCTCCCAGTCAGAGAATCAGCCAACAAAATTTCCAATGAGGATGAGGAACTTTCGAAGAACATCATCCATCTATGCTTCCAATTCTACGGTTCCCCAGTTTCAGGGCACATCATTGGTTGGGGATTTTAGGTCGACTATACGACCCGATTCCCGTTTTTTGAGAAGTTGGTACGTACCCCCGTCCCCAGCCTGTTGTCCTTCCCTCGCATCGATCGAGCCGTCAGATATGTGAAACAAGCCGCGGACAATCGACCGAGATCCGACGCCGCGCTTCCCTCCCATCAATCCAGATTTTCTCCCAATTCCTGCCCTTTTTTTTCCAAAATTTCCCGAAAACTTCCCTACTTTCTACTTTTTACCAGAAATTTTGCTGTCGAGCGGGGGCGAGGGGAGAGGGGCATATAGTACACATGAAACAGGGAAAATCACCAAAAGGTTAACCGCCACTCCACAACGCCAAAACGTAAATACGACCGCTCGCCTCAGTTTAGCAACGTCTTGAAGCGAGAAAATAATCGTATCAAAATAAATTTTTGCTTCAGCCGAAACCACGACGCCCCGCCCCCCCTTTATTTCGATTCCGCCAACAACTGATGGTGTCCCTGCACAGTTTGCAAGATCTATAGTAGCGTAGGGATGTTGTCTTTCACGGAGCTCTCGAAATTCGGGTCTTACTTTCGGTCAGTCGAATCGTACCTGGTCCTTTCCGGATTTCCCAGTGGTGCGGCCGTGAATATCCCTGAAATCGTTCGTATGTTCTGCTACAAGAAAAGTTGATAGCGTCGCAATCAGTCGGGGCGGTGTCAGGAGGGGCGGGATGAGCCCATCTTCGGCTGCTTCGGTCTACCAATAAGGATCGGTCAGTGACCAATTTCGGAACAAAACATCCACTAGTGGAAATGCCGCAGGTGGGCTCATTAAATCCCCTTTGCAACCGCTCCGGCTGATTCCAACGTTATCATCTGACACTCATTGAAACACCGTATTTCCAGTTTCATGGGCCGAGCATTTGAGCGAGCTGCTGAGCAAGCACATTTAGATGTACGAAGAGATAATTTTGATCCTAACGGTAAGTTCGAGTATTCCATAAGACTGGGGTTTTTCTAGAGCATTTGCAAGAATCCTCCTTTTTCAGTAGTCTTGGTGCGATCAGAAGACCGTTCACGTTTCTTCGACTTGTTACAAGCCGTTATGGAAATCGAATCATAACGAAGGCTTCTTTATCAGGTCTACATACGGATTAATTTCACCAAAACAGTTCCGGGGCATTTCGTTGTTTTCAAAATTGTACATGTTGTGATGAGATTGCGATAAAAATATTTTTTTATTGACACTTTATTGGATTAAAGTGTGAAAATGTCGCTAAATACAATGGGGACCACTTCCTGTAATTTCGTGAGAAAAAAAGGACCAAAGATTATACGTATACTGAAATCCCTGAGATCGGGTAGGCGTGGCCGCATGCTTCAACTTGACCTGAAGCTTGCTTGTGAGATATTTTCATCTTGACACAATTGTTGTCGTGTCTCTGTCCAACACAGAACAAGATGACAGTTGTCCCAGACTGGAATATTCCACGAGTAACCATTCCGTGCCATGTTCAAATGCCACGCCTACTCTGGCTCAGGGATAAGGAGTGTAATTCAGGTGGCCATTGGCCATGCTCTTGAGCGCGTGCGCTGTTTGCACGGAATACCTAATTGATGAATGTGATTGTGCTGTAGCAAGCCGTGTCAACTCGCAAGTAAATACTCAACTGTTCTCCAATCCCGCCGCGTGCGACTCACTTCTTATCGTCGTCGTCTTAGCTAAGGAGGAAAAAAAGCAGCCGCCACGAGAAGGGGCTGCTCGTGCATCCACCAAGATCGTGCAAAGATAGTGAGTTTTCTCTGATTGACTCAGTTCGACGAGAGTGACAAACAACTGAATGGTAGAGGGCTAGTCTCTCCGGGTGTCCGCATTTTGTTGAGCCTCCAAGCTATAATCGTCATTCCGTGCAGTTGGTTGGGGGGTCGTCAAGGCCGCAGCGGTCCAGGAACGTATTTGCTTTTTCGCAGTCTCATTTTTTCTTGTGAAGATAAGGAGCTGCTAATCTGGGAAAAAGTAGCCAAAACAGTGAAAAGTTGGAAAAAATGACTAAATTAGCCTGGAAAAAGCAAATAGTTCCTGGCACGCGCTGCGGCCCGTTGACCGGGAACGCCGCTAATTCAACTGCCCGGATGGGCGAGGGTATGTAGTGAAGGATGCTTTGAGCAGGAACTATCAAGTACTATTTAACCCATCCAATGCGGCAGCTTCACAGATAAAATTTGAAATAAGGCACCCACATTCGAGGATGGTCAGGGATACATCGTACTACCGCGACATGCGCGCGGAGCATCGTGCGGCAGTGGGCGTGTATGGTTTATGATCGCCATTTGACATTCGCACATCGTACAGTACAGTATTGGTTCGCTGCGATGATGGGGCGTGTCCGGGTCTAAGGCTCAGTGGTCGTAGTCTTTAACGTATGGCTAGCGATTGCGGGACTATGCATGCAAGGTCTATCTTGACGTATAGTTTACTATCTGTCTCATCTTACAAAATGGGTGTGGATCATTTTTATATGCCGAGCTGTTTTTAATGTCCACACACATTACTCTTTTTTACACTATATTGATGTAAGGTTTTGGTAGTACAGATTGCTGCAGTTCTTCGGCGACGAGTAAACCTATTTCAGCATAATACCGGGAGCTGCTGCCATCCTTATTTTCATGATGTTATGTGTTAAAGCAGAGAACAGAAAGGCTAAAGGTTAGCCCAGCTCCTTTTCCTTACAGACGTATAGCAGCGTGAGCGAGCGGTCAGCCAAGTCAGTGTGGAGGCTGAAGTGGAGTATTGCAAACGCTGCCCCGAGCATTCACATGACGCTGGCCACCCGCCGGCGCCTCAAGCTATGTACCTTGTCATGGAGGGTGTGAGTCTTGTGGAGAAACGGTGCTGGGCTGATGCGTGTGATTGACCACGTTCTCGTTTCTCTAGTTGAACCAGTATTGCCAAGGAATGGTAAAGTTGTAAGGAACACGTACGATCGGAGATCTATGAGAGTGAGTGCCCAAGTGTTAGGTGTCAACAATGAAAGATGAAAGTGGATTAAAGGCACACCGTTAGAAAGTGGTGATTCCTGCGGCTCGAATACTAACGACAAGATGGCGAATAATACAAAAGTGAGGAAAAAAAGCACTAAAAACTCGCCTAAGACGAAAAAGGGGAGTGGTCGGACGAGATTTCACTTGTTGGTGTCAGCTCTCCTTATCACCTCATTCTCACCATTCAAAATGGGGATAGTTAGTAGCGGAACAACCGCACCACAGTTAAAAAAGAAAGTCGGGCTTTGCCGTTTCCAGCGGGCGGAGCCGCGGCGTCGTCGCGAGTGGGTCGCTCTTTCCTCACGTGTTTTAGAGCTGCGAAAGTGGTACAACCTCCATGCTTGCGTGCGGGAATACCTTGTCCAAGGAAGACGCCTGAACATCAAATGAGCGCAGAGCGTACCTTGCTTCAATCGCGGTATTTCTTGTTTTACTAGACACCCCGGTGAGTATGGCATAAGTTTCCGACCATGGTGACACATTGCCCTCTGAGCAATGACCATAACCACTGGCTGTGCTGGCGTGTTTTGACTGCCCACGGCAACACCATGGCTAGCTGAAGCTGAGCTAGTCGTATGTGACCTACGTCGTGACGAATCGTTCTGTGGTGAAACATATGTGTTGTGTCATTTGATTATCAATGGCTGCTTCGGTTTCGCAGCGCAGCCTTTAAAATTCAGGAGCAATTCTGAGCCTTGAAACGAGATTTTAAATCTCTCCAAAGCTTTGCAAAAGGTGTAATGAGGTACGAGTCCCTGTTAGCGCATCTATTGAACACATTCTCACCTTCACTTTCATTTCGTTAGCTATGTATTTGGATGATGAATGGCGGAATTCCGACAGCAACTCGATATATACCTCGAAAGACCTTTTGCAAAAACATAGGTCCCGGGGAGATTTGAACTCCCGTCGCAGGATCAGCAGTCCTGCAGTGCTAACTGCCCTACACCAGCTGGACCGACGACAGACGCGTTCCCATACCGCTGACTGCCTTTTCCACCCATTTCTAAAAATAGCAATTTTTCCTTGACAAGCCACATTTGTCATGTCACGTCATAAACCGAATTAATAGAGAATTTCCAGGCGTAATATAGTTACGATACAAATTAGCGGAAATGCTGGTTGGAGGATGGCGGAAGTGCAGGAGGAGGGGGGGGGGCAGATTTCTGCGATGTGGGGGGGAGGGGGCATTTTGCACTTCCGCTACTTCGCATTAACGTGTCGATGTCGACCCATCTAGACAGCCTTTTCTCGAGTTGACAGGTTTTGCCATGATGACTTGACGAGATTGCTCCAGCTTCGCAAGAGTTCAGAGGCTTCATAAGAGTTTAGAGGCTTTACCAGAGTGCGACTTATAAACCAGAGGCACTGAAGCAACGCAAGTGCAAATGCCCCCCCCCCCCCGTCGCCGATCTACGTCGCCAAAGGGTACTGCAATGTGCAATGCTCACTACACTGTGTTAAATGGCAGTGTCCTCACCGAGATCGCCCCAAATCTGCTCCTCTGCTACGAACACCACCCTTTCCCAATCTCACCTACCATTTTCCTGACATTTCACAACTTCCTACCAGTTTTCCAGAAGTTTCCCAGGTTGCCTCAAAAGGTTGTCGTCAAGCAGAGGGAGGGAGTCGTCACCAACCAGCCAACCGGGAATGATCTCACCTTGGCTGGTAAAAACTTCTATTGAGGCCGGATACGACCCCCTTCGACCAAATATGTAGTACCTCCTTCCCCAATGCTCAGCGACCATATATGACGTCATCCCCAGCGATTAAGTACAACTCCCGTGAGGGATTCTCCCAAAGATGCTATACCCTGAGCCCACACGAGCTGCAATACATCAGAAAGCCACTATGATGTAGTCAGACGAGTATAGAATTGATATCGCCGCAAATCGGGGCGGTTTCAACAGGGAATGAGCCTCTTCAAGGCCTTTCCACCACTGGCTGTCTTCTTCCTGAATCGATCGCAAATCGATCACCATTGGTAGAGCAGTCCGAGGCGGGTTCATCCTGGCGCCGCCCCGACTGATTGCGGCGATTTCAACTATAACTTGCTGTGAAACCGCACGTGATCCACATAGTAGAGTGAAGGCACAATGCAAGACGTAAAAAACCTATCGCTTATTTAAGGTGTCCTGCAACCAGAATGCAACCAGAGCATGAGCGTGGTGAGATCCTTGCCTTCTTTCATCTCTATAAAATGCATCCACTTTTGATTGTAGAAAGCAAAAAGTGACAGTAATACAAAGCACAGTGGTGAGTCGTCTGACGAAGTAGACTCATTCGAAGCTGTGAAACCACGCTCGGAAAAGGCAAAACGTTTTCGCGAGGTATGTGAAAGAAGATTTTGCTGACCAGTTGCCCTTATAAGACTTATGAGGACCTGGACCTTCTACACATGTGTGACAATCGCAATTCGCCGCGCTGGTGGGCGTCGTATGCGCCGTCGCGACTGCAAATGATCGCTGCGTGCGACGGAGCGGCAAATTACGATTGTCTTGACCGTCTCCCTCTATTTATAACGGCACTTCACATTCGATAAAGCTTGTTTAAATTCGATGTGGACAATGTACGATAGCGAAAACATTTGTTGTTCAGATAGCCGACCGTAAAGCGGACCCAAGAAATCCGACATATGTAACAATACCCTCAAAAGAAGAAAATGAAACAAGTTTCGAAGAAGCAACAGCCCGACAATCGAAGCGACCTTGTTCCCAAAATAAATCTTATAAATCTTAGGAAAACCTCAAAGATGTTGAATATGAGCTCCCTTATTTTGATGATTCTGGGGGTTAAGAACTTTGGAGCACTTGTTACATTAACACTGGGACGTTTGTTTCAAGGATATAGGTGACAGGGCGGCAATTACATTGAGCAACTCGAGAAGAATATCCTCTCCACATGTCGTCGCCCGTACCTTCTTGGAAACTTTGTACTGCTACAGGATTGGGTGACACCACATGGAATCAAAGGGCGTTGGGAAAACTCTTGCCTACTTGGAATGGAAGGGCGTTGAGTACCTGAAGAAGATGGAATATCTAAGAGGTCACCTGACCTAAACCCCCTCAATTACCCGGTTCGGGCGGAGCTCAACAGGGTGGTCTACAGTGGCGGAGAAATCAACTATATCGCTGAACTCAGGTACCGAATCACGGT